CTGAGCGGCGATCGCGAGCTCGGCGCCGCGCTGCCGTGGTGCGGAGCGCCCGGTGGCGACGGGCCCGGGAGGCACTCTTCTCCACGGAAAACCGGCAGCTCCGTCTAGACGGAGGCAGACACAGAAGGGCGGCCTCTCGGGCTTAACGCTCAGCTTCCACGCGGCAGCGGGATCCGGGGCCTGCAGCCCATCTCCAGCTGAATTACACCGAGGAAACTTCGGCGCCTCCATGTGCCCGCCGCGCAGAGAGGGTTGGGGGCTCCAGGGTGCGTTTCCTGCATGGGTTGGGGGCCCCAAATCCGCTATTTTCCTGGTAATGGCGGGGAGGATGGGCGGGAGCTCCGGCCGGTCCGGAACCCAAGGTCCCGGGGGTTTGCTTTGTTCAAACACTGGGTCCGGCTGTCCCTGCTAGGCTCGAGTCTGAGCCATCGATCTCGCGCCAGGTTTCCGGCTGCATTAGCATCCACGAAACCCTGGCTGCTGGGCCCATCTTCTGCCCGCTCGATAGTAGCTTTAAATACACTAGCTGTGTCTATACAGGTCAGAGTGGAGTAGAGCTGGATGGATATTCAGGACTATACACATAACCCACCTGCATGGTATAAGCTTACAAATACACAGCAGTGAAATTATTTTCGACCTGAATATTCCAAATAACTACCCTCTTTTCTTGTCCTTCAAGACCCAGTTAGAGACACTGGGTGCTTTGTCTTAAATCAGTGGAGTAAATTGTGGTTGAGGGCTTAAATCAGACAATTGCAAAATAGATGCAATCTTTGCCTATATCCAGAGCTCAGCTGCACCCTTGATATTTGAGTTGTGGCTCCAACCACGACCTTCTCTTTGGCCAGGAGACCCAAGGACTTGTTATTCAGCCGTTGGGAGGAGGCTATAGTGTTTTTCCTTCTGACAGCTTTCCCAGTTATTGGGTCTCAGGGCCTGTGTAGACAACACTGAACAAGGAACCTTCTCTCCCAGATCTGCAGTGTCTCTGGGAATAAATCAAGGGAATAAATTAAAGGCCAGTTCTTCCTGACGTTCTTAAAGTCCCTCTTTCCAATTTAGCCAGCAATATCTTTACTGTTAACTCTTCCTGTGTAGATGCTCCTTAAGAAGAGGGTAGTCTCTTGCCTGGATTCACTGAGATTCAGACTCCCCCCTCCTGCCTTCACTCAGACTCAGGAGCAGCCACCCAGTCCCTCTCCCTGCTCACTGCTACCAGAAACTATCTAGCCCCCTAGCCTCCCCAAACTCTGTGGACCCTTTATATGAGTACCCCCAAAACTTGGGATTTCATTTTTGCCTGAACCCCTCAGCTGTACATTCAGCTAGGGGTTAGGGGCAAAGGGACGATGGGATTTGTTATAAATTTGCTACTTTTTCTGGTTGCAGTAGTAAAGAAAGGAGGGGAGAAAGAGAAAGAAAGATTTCAGGGCAAGAGGTGTGGCTGGGAGGCTGGGCTTGGAGGCTGGGCTCTGTGGGGTCTCCTGCTATTCCGAGCAGGCCCAGGAGGGTGGAGGGGGAATTTGGAGGAGACTCCATCATTGGAGACAGGCTGTGAGAAGGAAACTCATGGACCAGAGGCACATGGGTGGAGAAAGAGGGAGGGTATCCCATCCACAAGGAAGGGTTGAAATGGAGGTGCAGAGGGCTCATGGGCTCAGCAGGGACTAGACTCCAGCCTGGACATGGGCCTCTCTCTGGCATGGCCTGGAGGGCATCACTGGCTGACAGAGGTGGAGCCTATTTCACCAGCTTCAAGGGTTCTTTAGTACCCTCTCCAATCATCCTGAAGTGCACCAAATGTGCTCTCAAGAGTGAAGCCACAGGGTTAGGACCATGAGGGTGAAATGTAGACCCACCAACCCCTGCCCCATACCCCATGGTTCTCTCACCATCCCAGGTCCAATCTGCTCTTGCCCCTACCATGGCTTTGCTTCTTGGAGATCCTGCAGCTTGGACTTCCTTTTCGTGGTCCCAAAGGTAGTTTAAGCCTCTTCTGGGCTGTTCACATAATTTTTACAGCCCTACGACTCCTCAGATATCTCTCTCCTCCCCCGCCAATCTACTGTCCCCGTTTTCTCTCTGCTAGTAATTGCTTGGGACTGGAGATGACAGCTCAACAGATCTTGGTTGCTCGTATATTTTTGTTGCTGCTGCAACTGCACTTCCTTTATTATTATATGTTTATTAATTTTTTATTATTCACCTGAGCTGGGGAAAATAAAGTGGGGAACAGCTAGGAGGTTGGGGATCCCATTCTTTCTGGGCAGGGGAGACCATGTGGAGGGATCCAGACTAAAATTTTTCTGTCAAAAAATCACATCATCATACAGTCATGTTTTAATTATTATTATTAATATTAATATGATGAAACAACTCTGTACAAGGACTATATGAAGGGAAAACGTGCTAAAGACAGATGTTTGAATAGGAGGGCACACTACTGAGAGCTGGGGAGGGAGGAAGGGGAGGGCATCTAGCCATGGGGATTACACAAGGTACTAGCAGCAGACACAGAGAACAGGACACAAATTGACAGAGAAGTTCACGGAAGTCAAGCTTAAAGCGACAGGAAGAGAATATTGCATATATTTGTCCCCCCATCCCTTTTGGAGTGTTCTGGTCTATTAAGCTGTGAGAGGCTAGAGTGGTAGAGCTCAAATCCAGCACCTCAGAGCCCAAGAGAGCACAGGAGGAGCTGTATGAAGGGGTCCATGGGTGACCAGGCAGAGAGGAGTGCCTCATACCCAGGGCCAGCCCACAGGGGAATGTGCAGACAGCTGGGATGGTGGTGATTTCTGCAAACTTGTACTTAGGTGAAACAAATTTATGTGGGTGGGAAAGTGTGTCTGTCAAGTGCCGAGTGGGGGATGGAGGCATGTGATTGTACGGCCACTCTGCAGGGCTGCATTTGGGGATATGAAGCTGCCTGCTTGCAAGCACAGTCAGGAGAGTGGTGAGGGCCCAGTGGTGTGCTGGGCAACTGTGTCTGTATGTTTGCACAATCTTGTACAGAGACTTGAAGCTGGTGGGAGAGTGAAGGGCTCTGTGGATCGCCTTTCCAGGGGGTGTAAGGGACTTTCCCCTGGTGGGAAGCACTTCAAGCTAGTAGGCCAGTTTCACAATGTCCGAACTGGGTTTAACTGCCATCAGCCCCCTGCTTTTCACCCTCATGCTCCTGGCAAGGGTGGGTCAGCAGATGGGAGGTCGGGGGCACACACCAAGAGGGATAAAAAGGATTGCAAGAAGGCAGGCTGGCTCCTTCACTGCTTCTCTTTCGGAAGCCAGCCTGGGATCTACTGGGCTGGGGCTGGGGCCTGAAGGGGGCTATGAATAAAAGGCTCTGGGCTGGAGAAGCCACTCTCTGGCCTCCAATGGGTTTTGGGGATGTGCCCTTCTCTCTGCTGTGATCCTTGTACTCAGCGGCTCCCCAACCTGGGGGCGGAGGCAGTGGATCCTGAGACAAAGGGCCACGTTGGGGGGTGGGTGGAATGGGGGTGGGTAAAAGAGAGAAAGGAGTTGGGGAGGGCTGAGGCGCCCCCCTCCTTCATTGTCACCAGCCTGGGAAACCCTGGCTGAGCAGGGGGCCTCCGCAGTCGGTAGCCCCTTTAGGGGCGGATTCTCCTCCCGCCTCGTAAATTATGCCGGTCCAGCCTCAGGCCGGCCGTGACCGTGAACGCCAGCAGGGAAGAGAGAATCTGCCCCGCTGCCTGAAACTCTCCTGGCCAATCAATGCTGCGCTTTGAACCTCTTTTCATAGCATCTTGGGCTTCCCAGAGGGCCAGGTGGGGGTCCCTGGAGTGGCTACTGAACCTGAGGCTGCTTCTACTCAGCTCTCAATTTCCCTCTTGCGGTTTCCGGCCAGCAGCCGCCTTGGCGCAGGAAGAGTGGATGGCAGCACACCTGTGAGCTAATGGGCGGGCAGGAGGCTGGCGCTGGGGGGAGGGCTGAGGACTGGGAGACCATTGGAGTAGCCTGCCCAAGAGTGGATATAAGGGTGATGATCGCCTTGCCCACAGCCGAGTCTGACAAGTATCTATGCATCTGCCTGCTCTGGTCCGGGCCTGGAGGACCCAGACGCTAGAGGACTTGGGCATTGCGGACCATTCCATTCTCCCAAACCACACTTCCTCCTAGGTTCTTCCACTTCCTCCTGCCCTCCCAGATCTACCTGGACCCCTTCCGCTCTCGCTACTGATCCTCTATTCTCCCTCCTTCCTCTCACCCCAACAACTGCAAGTTTTGGGAGCCTTGGTTCCACTGTCCCCACCCTCACCTACCCCTGCAGGCAGATAGACTTAAGACCATGGAAGGAAAGTGGTGGGAGGAGGTGCCTGGGCCAAATTTCCTCCAGATCCTCAGCTCAATGCCCCAGTCTCACATCAAACTAGACCCTCCCCAGTGCCTCAGCCTTCCCTGCCCCTACCTCCTGCCTGCAGCAGTGAGCTTCCTCTCTCCCTGGCTGAGTTCTTCCCTTCTCTCTGGGATCTGGCAGGGCCTGCTGGGGGTGTGTGGGAGGGAACCACGAACAAAACAGACAAGAGGACGTCCAGAGAGGACCTGCCAGAGACGTCTGGCGTTCTAAGCGGGGACTGTGTCCCAGGCAGTGCCCCCTCTTGCTCTCTGCCAGGCTCAGTCTGGGGCTGGCGCTGTGTCTTGCCCCCTAAAAGAAGGAGAGAGCTTGCTCTCTCAAGAGAAGTCTTTTCTTTTTCATTCTGCGGTTCTGAAACCAGATCTTGACCTGCTGGTCACTAAGATTCAAGCGGTCTGAGAGTTCCCTCCGGCGCTGCCGTGTGATGAACTCGTTCACCAGAAACTCGCCCTCCAGCTCCGCCAGCTGCAACTTCGAATAGGGCTTGCGCTTCTTCCGTGAGCGGCTGTGGATCGGGTACCAGGGCGCCCCTGGGTGGAGAACCAGCAGCAGGGTTGGCCAGAGGACCAAGAGGTGACAAGCCCAGTGCCTTCGGTCCTTCCCCAGCCCCTTTCACCTTGGCCCAATGCCCGACCTCAGGTTCGTCCTCTCCTGTCTCCTCTCTCAGGAAGACCCACATCCCCACCAACTCCTTCACCTTTAATCACCTTTATCATGTTCCCTTTTCCCTTTCACTCTTTCTCCTTGTCTCCCCAAACCTACCTCTCATTGCAGCACCCCTGCCCCTTCTAAGTTCCTATCCTCTCACTTATCCCCAGACTTCTTCTCCAGGATCTCCTGGCCCCTTCCACTCATATCCTCCAGGATGGGGTCCCTGATCTGTTAGAACAGACATAAGTGAGTGGCAAGATTAAACCATATCCACAGACCTCTCTTGAAAGAAAGAAAGAAAGAAAGAAAGAAAGAAAGAAAG